GTATTGTAAACAGAGTGATTCATCATTCATGTTTTTTCTTCCCTCTCTTAGGCAACAGGATGAGCTCAAGAAACTCTTCACTGCATCCAAAGAGAAGTGCCCTGTCAAATTGCAAATGTATTCACTTCTCTGAGCATTGCTGGTCCTTTTCTTGCATTGATGTGCGTGTCCAGAAGTGCATCTGTCAGGTGATCTATTTTTAGTACACACTTATGGGTCACATGGTTAATCAGAAGCATAGAAACACACCTGCAAGAGTGAAATGATTAAGAACACGAATGCAAAGCACATTGGTTGAGAAAAAGTGTGCAACATTTAGGGACAATCTCCATTTGTGCGTGCAATGGACGACTTTCTAATCGACCTCTTGACATATACAGACCCGTACACTGGCAAGAAGAGATGCGCAATCCAAGCAAGTCTTGGGCAAAGTCCAGATATGGATCCAAGCTGGAAGATTCTCAGTTGATGATGGTACTCATGCGTTTTGTTCTTGTATTTTAGTGAGGTGGAAGAGTGTCCTTTATATATACCTCTATAAGTAGATGTTGTTCTTATAATTCCGTGCAGTCTATGTGCCTCCCATGTTTGTTCTTGCCTTGCCATGCAAACCTGAAATACAAGGATGGCTTGTGGCATGCTAGTTGAACAAGGAGAACAAAAAGACAAGTCAGCCAAACGGCGTTGTGTGCAGTGCAGTCTACCAGCAGTAGATGCGCCTCTGAATGACTCATGTCCTGGAAAGATAGCAATTTTCTAGTGCTGTTGTCGTTTCCTGCTTATTCTCCCTCTTTCAAAAGATTGTTGTTGTGAGAATGAAAGGATTCGAAGCGCCGTGAACTACAATTTCATCTAGAAGAAGTTTGCAAGTCGTTCCCAACGATGTCTCCAGTTCCCTGGGAAGTTCTTCGAAGCTGCTTGATCTTCAACCGTCTACCAAAGGCTCAACCTTCTCAGCCGACATGCGGGAAGATTTTGGCACATGCCAAGCGAAAAGTGGATGCATTCCGAGAGCGCATTGGAATAAGTGTGGCTGTTTTCAAGCTTGGGGTCACAGCGCATCCTGCGCAAAGGTTTCAGACATACTTGTCTAAGAATTTTGAAGAAATGTGGATAATCTACATGAGTGATGATGTGGCCTTAACTCACATGCTTGAAGCTGCATTGATAGCTTTGTTTTCCCATGCATCAGGGTGTCGCAATGAGGTTGGCACAGGAGGGGAGGGGGCACTGAACCGCAAAGTTCATGCAGGCCCTCCTTATTTCAATTATGTTGCAGGTGGCAGGGCTGATCAACTTAAACGTGTTGGTTAGCACTGAATTCTTAGTGCATGCGTGCATGTGTGCTTTTCTTTTCACACGTGCCTTTGACCTTTGACTCGGCTGTGAGCTTGAAATATACAATACTTTTCGTGCAAATGATGGACGCAGAGTTTGGGTGATGTTTGATCATGCAATTGGATCCAGGGTGTATACTCCAGTCACCTCTTCGCTGTTTCACTGTTCTCAGGTGTGGTCTGGCCTTGAACTTGTCGACTCGTGCACAGTCCAAGCCCTCAGCCTTTCCTACAGATCCCAAACATAGCACAGGTATATATTATATGTAATATTGTATGATCTTGCAGGTTCATATTGAGTCTCCATTTGCTTGGAGGCCCTTTATCAGCCACATGAAGGCCCAGGAAAAAAGGGCAATGAGGGAGGTTGAGAAAAGGGAGGCAGGCAACACGCCTGCTCCAAAGCGAGCCGCTAAAGTGAAGGTAGTAAAGAAGGAACCCAAGTAGCGAAAACAAGCTTTCTTGGGTGGTAGTGTCTGGGGAGACAGGAAGGGTGCTTTGCTTCATGTCTTCAAAAGGATGTTTTTAGCTTACAGGTTTGATGCTTGGAAAACAGCTTTGTTTGTGAGCAAGGCGAGCTTCCGTGATTGTATTTTGGGGTTATGCTTTTGGCAGGGATGACCTTGCTGAATCCAGAATGAAATGATCTGGATCGAAATTAAGTGGATTTGCTGTCAACTTAGCCAGTCGTTTTTCGAGCAACTGGTGCTGGGCAAGGGCAAAGATGCGCTTCTGCATTCACCCTGGCACAACAAATGAATGCTTGACAATGGTCTGTGCATGGACAGGTAGGAGCATGCTGGACTAATGATAAAACAATCTTGACTCGACTGTCTCTTTTGCACGTGTTGCCAGGTTCCACTGATTGTGAACCAGCGGGGCCCCTTCTGGAACATGTGATAGAGAAGATTGCTGATGGTGTATTTTGGCTGTGCTTGGTGAAGGTAGGATGCTGTTATATAATATGGGGAAAGTAGAGGATTTGTTTGATGAAGAAACTCGTTTCCAAGAGTGCCGAGGCAACAGCTTCCACTCTTCAGGAGCATGGTGTAGCTTTGCAATCAGAACTCCGGTGTGACCCTGCTTCAGCTTTGCATCCGTCCACGGTTTCAACCCTTGGCCGCAGCAAGACCAATGCTGCCCGACAATACAAAAGGGCCACCAAGCGCTTTGGATTTGAGATGATGCTAGCTTGTGTTTCAGGAATGCTTTCTTGTTGGGCTTGAGATGCATCAAGGGTTTGAGATGACAGTTTTTGTTTGCTGGCGTGCCAAGGAAAGTTCCGAACTCTTACCATTACTTTGAAGAGAACGGGTCTTGTGTTGATCTGCCTTTTTTGAAGGGAAGTGATGTGCTTCGCTACCTCCTCTCTGCCTACCCATCTGTCTTGATGGGTGGATTCAATCCTGGGCCACAAGTGCAAACTTTGTTCAAAACCTTCTGGAAGTTGTACCGAGTGGAACACCCAACTCATCAGATTTTTCAGTTGGCAGACCAAGGTGTTGTGGATTTGAGTTTTACAATACCTCTGGTGATTCATGGTGATGGAGCTCGTACATTGAAGAAGCAGCCATTGGAAGTGATTTCTCTACATCCAATCCTTGGACTAGACACAGGAAAGACTGGAGATAAATTCAAGTGCAAATGTTGTTCTGGTGAGGTCGAGTATGTGTCGGGGGATCCCACACATCCTTTCTCGCAGCGGCTCAACTGCCGTCACCATTCCTACTTGACGCACTTTTTGCTCTGTGCTTTTCCTTCCAAGAAGTACAAAAAACTTCCAGGGCTTTTACTATCTGTTTTGGAAACCATCTCAGAAGATCTTGGGCCACTGACTGCAGATGGTATTATGCACAATGGTTGTGTCTATCACTTTGGATTCTTGGGGATGGTTGGTGATCTTGAGTATCATGCAAAGACCGGACTGTTGAGCAGATCATATCAAAATGTTGGACATAGAAACTTCATCCCGTGCTGTCACTTGTGTGCTGCTGGTGGTCCGCTTCATCCTTTTGAAGACCTTACAAGCTCTGCTGCATGGAAAGGAACGGTGTACCACTCAGCTCCCTGGTCCTCAATGCCGCCGTTCCACCATATTGTGTTTGAAGATTGGTCTACAGGCTTGGCTGCCAGATGGTTCCTCTTGGATACGTTTCATCTATTCCGTCTGGGAATAGCAAGAAACTTTATAGCCTCAGCTGTATTTCTACTTTGTTTTGACTGCATGTTCGATTACAATGATGTGGGGGAGTCAAGAGCGGTCGATGCAAGACTTGGACGCGCATGGGCATCGTTCCACCTCTGGTGCGATACTGCTCGGGTGAGCCCCTCAGGGATTCGCGGGTTCACAAAAGAGAAGCTGCATTATCCAACTGCTTCATCATTCCCGTGGGTTGGCTGCAAGGGCTCCGACTCGATGTATTTGCTACGATGGTTAGAATGGTTCACAAGCTTACAGCTGGTTCACTCTGCTAGGACACAGTCGTTGATCCTGGTGAACAATGCTTGCAAAGCAGGTCTGGATTTTCAATCCATTCACAGACATGGAATCTGGCTTCAAAGAAGCTGTGGGAGGACATTGGAAGCAAATTGTCGTGGTTTCTTACATGCCTACGCTAGGCTGGCCAAACACAGTTTGGACCGTGGACTCACATTGTTTTCGATGGTCCCAAAGGTTCATGGTACTGCGCACATTTACCATCGCCTACAAATCTGCTCAAAGGACAGGTTCCGCTGCAACCCAGCATTGTGGGACTGCTCTATGAGTGAAGACTTTGTTGGTCGAGTTGCACGACAAAGTCGCCGGGTGGGGCACAGGCATGTGGTGGAGAATACCCTTCATGCGTACAAGGTGAAGGGGAAGTTGGAGCTAGATCGCTTGAAGCGCAAACGTGCTTTCGATCAGGTTGAGTGAAAACAAAGCATGGGATGGATGGACTTTTCTGGACTGACTGAAGTTGAAGCACCTCCATTGGTTAATTAAGTGGCACTCAAAGGTTTGCAAGGATATTGTTGTATTATCTTGATTCTTGTTGATCTACTGTTGGTGGGCAGCCATATCATCATGATGGAAACCAAACAACTGGAGTACTTTAAGGTTGGAATGCCGCTGAACCACCGCCTTGTCACTTAAGAGATACATCTTACAAACATCCTTACAGGCAAGGTTTGCTGGAACATTTGGCTGAATGTGTCATTTCCAGAAACTGCCAGGGGCAGAAATTTTGTTAAGGGTCTGATTCTGACTTGAGGGTCTTAAATTTCAATGTTTTTGTTCAGGGTCTAAAAAAGTGCAGGGGAGGAAGATGTAGGTATATATAAAGTATGACATATCACTATAAGTATAACTATATATATAGTATATTATTCCAATGTCAGGGAGTGTCTGGGGTATGGAATACATCTCACCAATCTTCTGATGTGTTCACAATCGTCACCAACATTCAAAAGATTAGAGACCAGTGCCAAAATGCCTATTTGTACTTTGTAGATATTTATACACAATCCTATATAAATCCATTCGCTCAATCCCTCTATCATTGAGTTTCTTGCCACTCCCATCAGCACCTATATCACTTGTCACTGACCCATAGATCCCAGCAAGGCTGAATGGGCTTGACACCGCGGAATGGGCGACAACACTCGACTGCAGAAAGGGCGGTCCGGCCCACATTCGGGACTGTCTTTGGGCAAGACGATGTACTTCCGCCCTCGCAAGGATGGGGGAAGTACAAGCGTGCATGGGTAAAGAGGAGGAGATCCTGTAAGCCCGGTTTGCACATGCATGCACATGCGTGGCTTTCTCAGGTTCTGATGGAAGAACCGGATGTTTGGAAAACTTCGTTGGGTGATGATTGCTTGAGGTGCTCGTTTACAACTTGACTGAACGAAGGGTTGGGTCCTTTGGTGCCTGTATGTTTGTGAATAATATTGAATAGTTATTATATGTGTATTGTTGTATGTTGTTGCATGTTGTTGCATGTTCTTACATATCATATTTTCTATGGACAGTTGTATAGACCACACTCTGGCCTACACAGTCTTGGTCAGACAGGTACAGTCCTAGCGATCCAGTCATACCTCCTCAGAAGGTGACTCGAAACACTAGTAGGTAGGTGCCATGCTCAGAAGGTACAACTGGATCCCTAGGGAGTGGATACCACATAGATTGCGGCCGGATGTCCCATACGATGTTTACAGGGGATCGGTGACTGGACCCCTCGCACATCTTCACGGTGTGGGACGGCCGATCTTTTGCAGGATTCACGGGGTGGTCTTGGAATGTCTGGGTCATAGGGAGTCTTAGGCACAGGCTATTCCAGTCCCATGCAGGCGTCTAAGCCATGGATGGTCATGGATGGTCATGGATGGTAATAATCGCACATCCTCGGTTTGGATGGGCTTGGAGATGATAAACGCAGCCCGAGCGGCTCACAGGACATTCCAACTTGGAATAGTACAACTTCCTCGCCGAGCCAGGCAACACTAGGAAACATCTTCCAAAACATGCTAGCAACAATAATAACAAGAAGCTCTGGGGGAATGCAATGCATATGACAGCGCTCCTATGTTTTCTGTAGAAAAAGTTAGCCAAACGCCAAACAGCTCGGTCCTTCCAAAGGATTTGAGACCCCAAACCCTCCACAGGATTCGGGTCCAGGGTGGCGTTTGGGTGGGAAAGGTCAGTGAGTGTTGGTGAATCAGTCTGTAGGCATGGTTACTCAGGCCAAACCTGGCCATTGGCTGGATCACCAGAGTTTGAGACCCTTGGTATGCCTGCAGGTCAATGACATCATTTGACTGGGTCTGGTCATGCAAAACCAGTACTCAATGAGGTCAAGGACCAGGTTTAACTTGGTCCTTGGACTTGTAGGGTATGGTTGATATTTAGCGCTGAGATTGCTAGGCAAAATGCATCAAATCATTTGGGGGGAACGAAAATGGCCACATGGCCATTGTCCGTTGACATCTCGTCCTCTGTACAACAAGGGATGCCCAATGATGACCATGACTGACTTCCGCAGCTTCCCTGGATAATGGTGAACCAAGCTTTCCACCAGTTGGTTTTGAGTATGGTTTTCTTGGATTTGCCAGGAACCAGGAAAAAGAGACGCATCTTCCCAGGGGTCATCCAGGAACCGGAAAATGAACATAATGTATCATAATGTAACACCACGCATACCTGGAACTTCTTCAGAGTGGTTCACCGACCTCAATAAAGGTATGTTGAACGACCGATCAAAAAAGTGCAAAATCAAAGTGTGCAGGCGCTGTGTGTTCGGACCATGGACGCGGACGGGCCTGTTCTCGGGGAGGCACCACTCGGTGATCTGCTGGTCCACCGCAGCGTCCAATCTCGGAACCAGAAAAAAGAGGTCGGAGCCTGGGTTTTACTGGATATTTACTGGGTTATACCGGTTCAAGATTGATGCGTCTTTTTATTTATTGAAGTTGGTCGTGCAAAACGCTACTCAATTATAAAGGGACCAGGTGTTACAGGATATTTGGACCTGTAGGGTTTCTATGATGGGGGTTCTTAATCCCTCTCCGGCAACCGGTCCTCTGGAATCCGATCGCCATCCACCGAACGATGTTGATCGGACTGTCCGGTATTTCTGTCACCACTTGGGCTCTGCCTTCGTTTCCGGATTGAATCCAGGCGCATGCATGGCTCTGCCGTCCGGTCTGCAGCTAGGGGCAGCACAACGGCACGGATGTGAAGGCGTAGATCCTAAGTATACGGCCGATGCCACTGACTCTGCTGACCACACCTCGTCATTCTCGTCCTCTCGGACTGGCAAGATGAAGTACCAAATTGACGCACCAGGAGTCACAAGACGGGGTGGTTTTTAGTTCCATCCATTGAGTGGATGTTCTGGGCACCCCTATCCTCCAATAGGATCCAATAGGCACCCCTTTGTGACTGCTGGCATATCATATTCATGAATCCTTGCATCGGTTTCAATGCCCAGGCACAAGCGCCAAATGGCCACGATCAGCAACACCAGGGACTTGGCGAACGCACCGTGCTTGTCTCTTCCGTGGTCCGAACCGCACCGCTTCTGGAGCGCTGAGGGCGCGGCGCCGAGTGAATAGACCTCGGTGGATCGATACCGTGGTGCCTTGGAGTCGATGGGGACACCGTGCTGCCTTGACGAACAGACCATTCCGAGCGAATCGAGCGAATCGAGGCGACCGGCCCCCGCCGAGAGTGAACACATATGGGCGCCTCGATCGGGTGTATGGAAACTGTGAAGGATGATGTGCACAGCCCTTAAGGTGCACGCGTCATGCCACAAGAGGTAGTCTGGAAGTGACTATGCTTGGTGGTATGGGTGGGCAGGGGTTCACGAACCGCAGGTTATGAGCCCATCGCCGAGCGTTGGTTAAGGATCCAGGAATGGATTGGTTGGAGCATGTGGCATGCGATGGGCGACATGGAACATGTGACAAGCTGTGGGCGGCACATGACGCGTGACAAGCAAATGGGCGGTGCTCAATGAGTGGGTGCATGGCAGCTACTGCGGTGTGCGGGGTGTGGCAAGCTATGGCAGCATGCAGGATTTGGCAGCTATGGCAGCATGCTGGGGCTGGGTGCCTAACAGCCGGTGCGGTGGCTCATGCCCGGCGACCCAGCAACAAAGACGCGAGTTTGAAAGCTGCGCCATCATTCACACATGCAACCTGCAGCATGGCGTGGTCTGCAGGTTGGGGGG